CCGTAATGCAGATATAAAGATTTCTAATTAGATTCTTGATCTACTTTGCCTTTAGATTTGAACAAATCATTAGAGCACCGTTCCGTGTAACCCGAATGAGTCCGAGCTGAGCTTTCGTCTCTCTCCTTGTCACGAGTATCGTCAGACCAGATCATACCTTATGAAAATTCACTAATTTCTAAGATAAAAATAGGATTGCATCCGGTCACTATTTGCATATAAAAGCCTAGTGATTCTTCGTAAAACTTGTTTATTTTCTCTGACGGCCTATGCCATTGCAGCACAATCGAAAGCCCAGCAAATATTAAATGAATTCGCGAAAACCTGTGCCGAGGAATTATTCTCACAACTCTACAGTCACAACTTCAGGGCAGTCCTACTTCGAGTTCAGGGGAGACCAAGTTACGAATCCCTTTCATTCAACGTTTCAAACTAAGTAAATTGTATAACAACAGAAAAAGTAAAACGCCTGCTGGCTCAGCGAGGATACAAAATGAGAGGATAAGAATAAAGCGTTTGAAAGTTGAGGTCTCAATCCGATTAGGGCACGGCTCAAATGTAAGTTTCAGGATATGCGCATCAATGGATTCAAGTTCTCCTCAAATAAATTTTGTGTAAAATTGTATTCTTAATTAATACGATGTATTGCTGGGGAGACCTTTAATACGTATGGAAGTGTATGAAGAAGATGGTTGATTGGCATTGCACAGCAGCCATTTGGCCTCGATACAACTTTCCGGTTGACTCAGTCAACGAAACATCCTCACTGTTTCGGGTGAAAACGGGCTGAGCTCTCATCCACCTTTCGATGGACATCATCATACCTGAATCTTATTCCTGTAAAAGTCTCAAGTTAACAACACAAATTCGAGAAGACTGTCCGATTCTATCTTACTTCTTATGCATACTCAATTAAAAAACGAAAATAAATAAGCATGGATAGATATTGAATGGTTTGGTCAATTATCTTTCATATTGTTCATGCTACTTTTGCTCGAGTGTGTCCGTGCGTCTGTGTGCATGTGTGTCAATTTCTATACGCAACACTTGTCCTGAATCAGAGTGATCAAAAATATGCGAAGAAAAGTCGGGTTTCGAGCAGTCTCTTGTTTCATAATTGTTGAGCTTACTTTCATTTCGAGTGAAGAAAACTCGTTAGCTTGAATTATGTAGTCCGTCAAATGACGGATGAAAGCTTAGCACATTTCCACCGGAATCGAAGGAGATTGCCTCAAAAACAGCGCCAGCATGAAGCTTCTAGTAAAGCCAATCGACAGCTGGTAAAGAGGAATCCGACGTCGTCTTCTGGTCGAACCGACCTTCGAATCTCTTCACGCAACACTTTCACTCGAAATGGAATTAAGCTCAAAAATGATCAAAAATCCCAATGTTAGGCTCTGGTAATCAAGGTTTAATGACCCAAGCAAAATCCATGGACGAGACTGCGTAAGTGCGTAAACAAAAGGGTTGAGATAACGAGACTTAAGCTTGTACGTGTGTAAATCAGGTCACGAAACAATCTGCCCTAACCTCTCAGTCTAGGGTCATTAAGGTTTAACCTCACAAGCAAAGGCATAAATGGGGCTGCAAAATATGGTACGTCTGGTTTGGTTGATGAGCTTACTATAACATGTTGGACGAGTGTGTGACGGTAGAACCAACACCGAGCAGACAACTTGAGTCGTCTTCTTTTGGGCGGCGGCTCAACACCCTCTCTCCTTCAATCTATCAATCAAGCAAAAGTAGTTTCTATTCAACTTTCCCTAATCTATCAATTTCAATTGTCTCTCTTATCTTTCTTGTAACAACAAACGTACCATAATCAGCAAACCTACTAGTTTAAGATTATTCTATCTCAAGTTCAGTCTCATGGCAGAGATTGAAGATGAGACTATTGAGTCTCGCTCTCGTATGACAATTTACTTCGATATAAAAGTCTTCTAGGCGACTCATCGAGACCCAATTACTCTTCCTAACTATGATAATATTTAATTTCAATTTGCTTAGATATCGTCTCAACTTGTTTTCGCAACTTGGTCATATTGCCAGGAAAACCTAGGGGAACGCACCTTGTGGGATCAGCAAATAAGAGCAAGTTGCGAAGCCAAGGTCGAATATATAAGATCTATTCGCGTTATTTCGTTTAAAGTGATGAAGGACTTGTAGTCGACATTCCCCACAACGTTCCCTTGCTTTCGCAGAAGGTGTTCTTATCCAGGCACCAGTGGATTGCAGTTTCGACCTCGCATAGGTCGAAAAGAATGTGATATGGGAAAATACCTTGCCCTCCTTGAGATTCACATCTGCTCTCTGACCCAAGGGCACTCGTGGCAGTGTGGAGGAGTGGTTAACGTGTCGAGATTACACGCTGTACTTTCATGATTCTACTCCCTCTAGGGGTGTTGATAAGACCTGGGCGAGGTCGAAACTTCAGTTCAATCCAGCCGGGCAAAGCTATGTGAACTTCACCCGAAGCGTCAGTTTTACTCACACGATTGTGGGAAAATTCAGCTACCCGTCCTTCGTCAGCTTAAACGAAATAGTGTGAATAAATTTCAGCTAAGCCTTGTAAGCACAGTGAGTTGTTAATTACGGGAGGACGTCAGCACAGACTGAAAAACCACAAACACTCAATGATCTGAATGATATTAGCAAATGTGATTAAGCATTCTATTGGTCAAACACACAACCTATTCGCAGCCAACTTGTATCCGCCTTGTTTGTAGATTATCCAAACTTATTTCCATTGCCGTAAGGAGTAGGGTTTCGAGACTACCAGTAAATCAGTGTAATGAAATGTATTCACCCTATTTCGTCTAAGGTGATGAAGGGAATGGTATTAGAATTTTCGTATAATTGTGAGATAATTCTACTACCAGTTCTTCATCACCTTAGACGAAATAGGGTGAATACATCTCATTATTTCCATTGCTCGAATCGGGTTATGTAAGCTTTATTTATCTCAAGAAGTGAGTCGACCTCGTTGTCGCAACTTGGTCTTGCTGTTAAGGTGACTATGTAGAACGCACCTAGTCCGAAGTCGTCTGCCATGCTGGTTGTTATGATTCCCAGCATCGGACAGTGGACTTGATACATTGATCGAAAGGAGACTGCGACCATAACAGAGGTCACAACATCTTGGTCTTGATATATTTATTTATCTCTTTCATGATACTGAGTCCCTTGCCTCGGACAAAATTACTATTTGATAGGTTGACTTACCACCAAATTAGATCTACCGACAATCCCAAAGCCTTTCGAATGTGTTTGCAAAAGTCTAAAACACGAGAAAGGGAGAGAGAGAGAGACATATAAAAAAGCGCCCAAATCCTCAGATCCAATCAGACGAGGTGGCCTCTGGACTATGTCTTACCGGCGGAGTCAAGAAGAGCTGTACCCGGCCAGAGCGCACAGCAACAAATACCCGCCTGGGGACTGGGATGGTGCGTCGCGGGGGTCTGGCGACAGGTTCTGCCCTCGCTTCGTCCAGCGTCTGTCCTGAAGCGACTCTCGACCTACCCAACTTGGCTGGAAGACTGGGCTTCTCGATGAGGGCGTACGAGTCGTGGACAGTGGATCCCCAACTGGCCATTGCCTGCGCCACATCCTCGGGCTTGTCTGGTGCCGCCAGACGATCTCGAATTGGCCTCAGAAGGGGACTGCTCGGACCTGAGCTGACAGTCCGACCCGACTGGCTGGACGGCTGGCACGAGCCGGTACCTTCGGATGTGCTGGAAGAGGTGGTCTCGCAGAGGCTGGCCAAGGTTTCAGCGCTGTTGTGAAGCATCGTAAGCCAGGCGGCGAAAAGGATCTACAGGAAAGAGGAGTGCTTCAAACGTGCCTGTTTCGACCTTAGGCAAGCCATGCAGATTTATGGCCTCTGTCTCCTCGCCTCAAAGTGGCCCCAACTTGGTGGTGGAGGAAGTAAGAGTCGAGTTGATTCTGAGCTAGTGCGATTCGCTACATCACTTGAAAACAGTCTTGTTGCTTCGGTGAAGCAATGCATTAAGTGGCGGTCAGCAAAGACCGAGCTTGGCGGCAATGCAAGGAATAAGAACTTGAAAAGAAAAAGAGCAATTGCGTTTCGATGAATCTCCCTAAGACAACATTGTTTGAGAGACTTTCATCTCGCAGAAGAGTGCATGTTGAAGAGAGTTGTTGGTAAATCCGACCGACAAACGATGGACGGTTTGGTTTTAATACAACATTTTTGTTGGCGCAGTCCAAGAGACATCCTCCCTTGTGGGAGACTAGAGTCTACTTGGCCTCCTGTTGACTTGAGACTGTTAAAAGAACGAGTTCTAGCTTTGACGATGTCCATCAAATGATGGAAGTAAGCTCGGAACGGTTTCACCCAAAAATGAGAAAAGGATTTCTCGTGAAAGTCATGTTAAGGCCGAACAGCTGTGAAGCAGCCGTCGTCTTCCGGTGAGATCAACCAACGAATCTTTTCTTCATACACCCTCCTACGAAACGAACGTCGCTCCAACAACGCCATCCCAATGTTGCTCCCCGAAACCTTCCTATTCTTCGTAGTTAAGGGCTGACAGTTGAGTCTTTCCCACAATCAGATGAGTAAACCTCGGGATGGCATTGGTTTTTGAAATGGACTCTCAAAGGTCAGTTTCGTTTTCACTTGAATTCGGCATCAACGCCTCAAACAGGATTTGGGATATCGTGGCGACGTTAACTCTCCACTCCATTGCACAGCCACAGGTGTCAGTGGTTGACAAGGCAGAAGCCACCTTTAAGGCAAACCAAGCGTCTATATGCGAATGAAGCTGGGTTTCGAGGACTGCTTCACTAACCCATTGTGGCATAGCTTTTAATTTCAAAGGCAAAGTTGATTAGAAAGAATTCGTCAATCATTCCTACCGGAAAGTGAGGAAAGCTAATCGAGTCAAATCTGCTGGATATGAATAGTCATGTCACAATAAAGCAGGTTTCTACCAACTCACATTGTATAGTGGGAAAGTCAAGCATAGCAGACATTTGTATGAGATTAATTGACTCTATGTTGTTTAAGAAAATGAATTTTCCCACAACCTTGCTTCCCAGAAGGTATTCTCATCAAAGCAGGAGTAGACTGCAGTTTCGACCTCGTCTAGGTCTTATCAACAGCCCCAGCGGGAATCGAACTATTACGGTGCAGAGCGTAATCTCGACGCGTTAACAATTACGCCAAATTGCCATGAGTGCCTTTGGGTCACAGGACAGATGTGCATTTCAAGCAAGACCAGACATTCTCCCATCTCACATTCTGTGGTGAGATTGTCGATGAAGCAAAGTTGCATTCGACTAGGCTACTTATTCTTCGTTGATAAGTTGTCTTTCGAGACCACCAGTAGCCTCTAAAATCTACTTCTAAACACTAAAAATGGCAAATATGTATCTGCTATTGAATTAAGCAACGTTACTTAAATTATATATGAGTAGCTATCGGTACTTAAATCACCTCAGGCGACCTAGGCTGAACAAGTTCTAATTCAAGAATTAGTTGGTCTTGAAAACCGCTCATATGGAGACTAAGAAAAGCGGAATATAAAACTTCATCCGAGCTTCAGAAGTCAATTCGTTTAGTCGAGCGCAATTCAGAAATGCATTGTTTTGTGACAAATCACCTTTTTATTGTCTTAAACAATATCAGATTGCCCTTGTCTATCATTTTCTTCCACCACACATTTACCTTTCTTACGGTACTGGCAACCATTGCCTAAACTTGCGTCATCGCCTTGTGACGCCGAACCAGTTAAAATGACCCATTCCATTTGTCATGTCGATGCCCATTTAATGTTATTTATTATTATTTGAAGTATTACAGAGGAAACAGGACCGTTTAATTGCATGCGAATATATGGTCTTTATGAAACGTAGGCATTTTTACCTGATCATTGCCCGGAAGACTTCCGTTCAACTGGGTGATCTGTAAAGAGGAGGGGGGCGGGCAGAGAATGAGAATTAACAAGTCAGGAATTTGCAAAAGAACAGGGTTTCAAAAGCACTGTTCCAGCTTTCTGGCCCTTGAGCAACAGAAGAAAAAGAGCAAGAAGAAGAAAAAGAAGGAAGAAGAGACGAAGAAGAGAAAAAAGAAGAAGAGACATCTGCCTTCTTCGACATTTCTCTCTTAGAGACAAGAAAATAAAAAGAGGAGAAACATAATAGGCATGAATACAAAGATGATAAGGCCCTCATTTTGGTCGCAGTCGTCCTGCGTTGTGTGGCATTGAATTGAACCTGTAATGCTAGGACCAACTCGAAGAGCATACCTTGTCCAGCCTTATTTGGTTAGATCCAATACGTTATCTTTGAAGTGAATGCCCGATCAAGCGGTTTACAAACTCTGAACCAATGAGGAAGCACAGTGTTAAGAGTGTCTATAACGGAAGGGTTGCATTGGCAAGCTTGAGAATCAGGGCTTATGAGGCCTGTTCAGTGAAGCTATAGACTACGTGAGATCAAATGCTTGAAGCTGATGATGAGCAATAACGCCTCGAGTAAACCGGAAACGGGGTCTGGAGCCGCGTGAAATCAGGCGACCGATGAGATAAGAAAGGAATCTTATGGAGCAGAAGGGAGATTGGAATAATTTAAATGTAAGTAGTTTTCGAGACTATAATTAATGCTTGAATAAGAATCTTGTAATTTCTGAGTCGGTTATGCTGATTTAAAGTCTGATAATTGAGTTTTCCCACAATCAGACGAGCACGACTCACGATTCCATTGAATTCCGTCTAGCCTTG